CAGAATACGAAATTACTATAAATGACTTACTTCCTGATTATATGCGTCTTAAATATACCCAAGCATGTGTTACTATCTATCCAGGTATAAATCGTGATGGTTGGTGGAAAAGTGATTATTTAGTTGATCAGGTAGTTAAACGTGCCATACCAATATTTGAACAAACACACTCCCGGCAAGATAACTCTATTCATGTTTGATAATAGTAGCAATCATGGTTCATTTGCTGAAGATACCCTTTTGGTCTCACAAATGGGCATGGGTGATGGTACAAAAAAACCACTTCTTCGTAATGGTGTAAAACCTGATGGTACCGAGCATATAATGACCTATGTAGATAAGAATGGTAAAATAAGGCCTAAGGGAATTAAACGGGTTCTTGAAGAACGAAATTTATGGATACCAGGCCTTATAAAAAAGTGTGATACATGTAAAAAAAATAAGCCTGATCCAAACAGCCCAAACTGTTGTGCTTCGCATATTCTTTCAGCTCAACCTGATTTTGCAGCTCAAAAATCACGCATACGAGAGGTAAATATGTTTTTTAAAAAAAAAAAAAAAAATATTATGTATTTAAAAACTATTTACTTACATATGTACATACGTATAAATAATTTAGGTAATTGAAGCAGCCGGCCACATGTGCATCTTTTACCCTAAGTTCCATTGTGAACTTAATTTTATTGAGTTTGTTTGGGCTGAGGTAAAACGTTATGCAAGGTTTAATTGTGATTATACTTTTAAGGGCCTTAAAAAAAAAGTTCCAGAAGCATTAGATTCTGTTGATTTAATAAAGGTTCACCATTTTGCTTATCGTTCTGCGTGCTTTATGAGTGCCTATGAACTTGGACTTTCTGGAAAGGCTGCTGATTTTGCAGTAAAGAAATATTGTTCTCATCGTCGAATTCCGGAAAAAGTTCTTGAAGAATTCACTCATGACTAAGATATTTTGATTTTTCTTTCTTTTTACTCTAAAAAAATATGTATTTAAAATCAATATGTCTTCGAAAAGATAATAGTAAAAGTTGTTCTTTAAATAATTATTCACTTTGTCTTAAATTCAATTGGAATAAAAATCGTTCTTTGTATTTTTTTGTACCTGTGATCTTGACAAATTCGTACATACTACGTATTAATTTTTAGTACTTAAGAAAAAGAGAAAGACATACGTACGTACTTAACTCTTTTATATTGAAAAACGTGACATTATCAATTTCATTGTTGCATCAATTAACAAATACCGATACGTACCACAATTCTATTTTTGTCTCATGACACACGTGACAATCGTTAAGAAGCGATTGAAGTCGAATATTGAAGCCGCTAAATTCGAGAAGAGTTTTCTTTGACAGTCAATTAAAGCATACAAAACAACCAGTATACATAAACTTCAAAGATATACTTATCTTAAAATCCAGTTATGCCACAGCAAGGCCCATAAGCCTTGGAGCTCTGACCAAGTCTTTCCATGCTTCTTTATGCCTTCCATCTCAAGTCTTGGGACGATTCTTCGGTGTTTAGTTTAGATAGATTAATAGTTTTTGTCTAAAACTCTTTAGTCACCATTTTCTCAATGTACAAGTTAAAAATAAAATAAATAAAGTGTTACGGAAAATCATGAAATCTAAAATCTTTGACCTAATTCCAACTAACTTCACATACCGGTATGCGCGTACTCAAAATAACGCGCAAGTTAATTATTTAGCTTGCAAGAACGTGTATAGATACGTATCACATTGCTATGTATAATTAAAATTAATAAACGCCCAAAACGACGGCTAAAAAAAATAAGGTGCTACATAAAAAACTAAATTTCATTTGTTCTACGTACGTACGTAGAAATTTTTTTGTAATACCGTCGAGAATTTATAGACACGTATACATAAGAACCAAAAAATTAATTTTGTATGGCCTAGTAAAAATTGTACTTCATACAGTACGTATAAGAACCTGTAATTTGGGTTGAGAATCTTAAAATCAACCAAAAAATGCCGAAGGATGGTTTTCCCAGCCCATTCCCCATATTATTCACTTCTATAATTGACAATTAATCAATTTGAAAAGTCTACATAATCAACTTGAAACCTACCGTAAGTGCACTGCTTATACAGCAATCTTCTGTATTTGTATTTAAAAATGACGCGTATTATATACAAACTTTATTTAAAATCTAATTTTTTTTTTTTACAAAAAAAAAAACTAACACTAATGCAAAAACATTGTTTTTGACCCACCTGACCCATTTTTATTGACCGACCAAAAAAAAAAAAATTTTATCTTCGTTTTTTGACCCACATAGTATTACACAATAGTATGTATCATGTAACGAGATCAAGATCTCAATTATGTTGGTCGGGATTTTAAGATGATTGCATAATTAATCTGTAATAAATTAAAAGTATATGAAAGTATATTAAATATATGATCATATAAGAGGCTAAAGTAATAAAGTAAGTCTCTTGTTTTAAAAAGGAAAAGATAACGATATACGTATATAAAACGTGGCTATAGAAATCCATACAAATAGTTAGTTGTTAAATCACAACGTTAAAAAAACACTATACCCATCAAACGCTTCCAAGTTAGTTACACTAAGTGTCGCGTAGTTTCCGAAGACCCTATATACTTAGTGAAAGGTATACAAATTGATACTGAGTTTATTAGTGAATCGAAAGGAAAGAAAGTTCAACGAAAGTACGAGTCGATCGATTCACGTGACCACGTGATCGATCGGAGTCGTAGATAAATCGAAATGTGGGGGCGGCAAATGCAAGATCGGGTACGATTAGTACCTTGATCACTGATTGCATGAATATGACGTTTAAGTGGGGAACAATGAAAAGTTAAATTAATTAATAACAAAGAAATAGTTAAATCGTAGTACAGAATATGTAATTGTAAGAATCGCTTAAAAATAGTAAATGGAAAATAAAGAATAAAACAGTCTTTCAACTAAGAATTGAGTGATAAACGAAGAAGTAAAGTAGTTTTATACGTTAATAGTGTTAGGTAGTGCATCGTTAAAGGTGTATGTCTCAAGTTGCCAAGCAAGACCTTGAATCAAATAAACCATCTGGGCCAGATTGCAGTCACCACGGTGATTGCTTAACTCTTTGACACTAAGTTAGACTGCAATAGCGACAGCTATTATTTGACTTCATGAAATTATATACAGAAATATTGTTAAAAACTATATTGATTTTCCTACACAATGACTTCACCTTCTTTTTGTAATAATGGTGATACATATTCCATTACCATTTGGACGATCTGCTGAATATTATTTATATTCTCTTCCTATATCACACAACATCCGTTATAAGACTCAAAGCCAAAAACGGGTTAATGATAATACAATGTCACTTAATGAATTAGAAGTATCTGTGGCATTTGAATCATATGAAGTTTCAACGAATAGTCTGAAGAACAAACAAGTTTATTAACCCCATCAATTCAAAAACGAAGGACAGTTGCAATTTGTAATCACAAGTGTAAAATTTCAAGAAAAGTAAGTTTAAATCATATTAATAAGATACTAAAAATATTATGTATATGGTGTATTAATTATAGATCTTTAAATAGTCCATTCAAAATGAAGGTAGCATTAATGCACTATTATTGAACAAAGCAATCATATGATCTGAACTTGAAAAACTCTTCGAAGAGAAGCGAACTGATTAGAAGTGATGTGAGTTTGTGAAAGCATGCATCGAACGAAATCTCATTTAAATGAAAATGTTGAACAAAATTATTTACGTGGTTTGATGGGAAAAAAAATAGTGAAAGCAAATGGCCAAATTGGAGTTGCCGATGCTGAATGAAAGTTTGTAAATGAGTATAACAAATACATCATATTGTTGTAATATATGATATATTTAAAATTTATATATTTTGAGCTATCACAGTACTATTAGTAATAAATAAATACTAAAGATATAAAATACAATTCTGACAATAACCATTTTTTTTGCAATGATCGTGTAACACTATGTGGGTCAAAAATGATGACAATTTTTTTTTTTGGTGGGTCAATAAAAATGGGTCAAATGGTCAAAAACAATGTTTTTGCAACACTAATATTTTTTTTTTTTTTTTAAAAAAAAAAAAAAAATCCAAAGAAAAATTAATTTATTTTTCTTTTTTTTTCCGATTCCAATTCTGTCATACGTTTTTCCAATTGAAAAACTTGGCTGTTAAGTTGAAAAACTTGGTTTTCAAGTTGTTGAACTTGTTCTTCTAATGAATTACTAAGGGCGGCGGCGGCAGCAGCGGCAGGGCGAATGTACTACGTACGTACGTATTTATTAATACGTATGCATTAGTACATGTGTACTTATTTTAAAAATAAAACGTATACGTACGTAGCAGATTCGTATACGTATACGTACGTATCTGATATTTACCTCAATAGATGTTCCTTTTTTAGGGGACCAATTATAATATTTTGCCTTCTGGAATTTGATGGTAGAATCCAAAGGACCGTTTTTAAAAATTTTACCTTCCATCTCGTAGTAAAATTTACCTGCATCCTCTCTTGTATCGAAGTGAACGTGGCAAAAGCTAAATAAATAAGCAAATAAATAAATTAATCTTAATTGAACATTTTTAGCAATTCTTTTAGCAAATTCTACGTATACGTATTAACTCACGTTTCTCCACGTTTTTTAAGATGCGCAAACTTCAACGAAATATTATCGCGAATCCATTCGTCCCATAGTTCTATGCTAATATTTTTATTTGCTGAAGCAAGAACCATTAGTTCCGGTTCCCTGCAACATGGTCGAGAGCTATCTACTGTATGCAAAATAAAATGTTATTGGAACTTTTGTAAAAAAAACAACCAACCCTTTTTACAAAGTTAGTAGACCCGAACTTTCTTTTACAAAAGCGATCTCCATGAGGAGAGGGTTCCGCAAGGAAAAAAAAAAAAAACAAGAGAGCACTGGAAAGAGAGCACTGGAAAGAGAGGACACTCCAAAGAAAGGTATAAAGTAGGTAAAGACACCTACCTACAGTCATAATTGGGTGGGTGGGCTTTGCTTGGGTGGGTTTTGCTTTGCTTTGCTTGGGTGGGTTTTGCTTTGCTTTGCTTTGTTTGGGTGGGATTTGCTTTGCTTTGCTTTGGGCTGGTGGGTTTTGCTTTGCTTTGAGCGGGTGGGTTTTGCTTTGTTTTGCTTTGAGCGGGTGGGCGAGTGGGTTTTGCTTTGGGTGGGTTTTGCTTGCTTTGAGTGGGGTTTGCTTGCTTTGGGTGGGTTGTTTGCTTTGGTGAATTTGCTGTGGTGGGAAAAAAAAGATTTTAAATCAATATTTTTAATCTTACTGATTGACCAATGAAAGGTTTAGATTTCTGGATCTGAAA